CCCAACATTATGACCTCTGATACACAGACGGGGACCTAAATGAAGCCACGTCTTCATCATGTTAGTAGGGTTAGGGGTTCTTTATCCACGATGCTTCTAACCTTCGAGCCACCGATCCTCCAGAGCCGCCGCAGCGGCGAAGACGCCAGCGGGCTCCCCTTCGCCGCGCCCGGTGGCGGCGACCGCCGAGAGCCGGGGCAAGTCAGCCGGCCGCCTCACCGATCCAGACCCAGGCCCGCCCTGGGCACAGGATCGGTGCCCCCCTGGCCTTGAACAAGAGGGCGTCCAGTCAGGCGGCTCCCAGGAGGAACGCAGAGCAAGGAGCGAAGCTCCTCTTCGGCCCCCAAAAGCACCTGGGTGCAACGGGACGGCTAAAAAACCGCTGGCGGAACAAGCATGGCTCCCGCAAGATCCTGCAGGACACTGCGCGCAAGCCCGGGTCAATGCACCCCTGGTTCTGCAGGAACCAGCCCTCTGACTGACCTCCGTTTGTGTTGACCCCCGTCTCTTCAGCTCCGACGTTGGAGAAACAAACTAAACATACGTTGCTCCCATCGTACTTAAGGACCACATCCGAGAGATAATGTCGAGCCCCGGGAGAAATATCGAAGCAGTGTCGAACGAGTATCGCCGCCCAGGGCCCGACGCGTGAAAACCCTCCAGTTGAAGGACGTTCCTTGGTGCTCGAAATTATTTTTCGTGGTTAAGGCTAAAGTAGGTTGGAATAGCACAAGCGTAAAACCGAATCCATCCTGTTCACACGATCGGCGCATGTGCCCCCACTGGCACTGGTCATGGGAGAGCGTCATGCATGCACCGATCCACGGCCGGGAGGAGGAGCGGTGAGGTGGTCGGCTGCCGCCCCCCGACGAAAGCAAGTCGCACTTCCTCGCCGCGACCTCGGCCGCCTGCATGTCTGGGAACATTATGCCTGCCCCAACTCCATCCGGGAACCCGTGGCCCCATCCGTCCGGCCTATCCGCCCGCCCTGTTTGTGGATGGGTGCCGTCTGCACAAGGCTTCCTCACAGCACCCATTTCCGCTGACAAGCGAGATAGAACGCTAAGAAGCTCTGTCCAAGAGGCGTGGGAATTGTTCTGACGATGGTGACACAGGCATCCGATTACTATCTTTGTTATCGAGGGATCCCCCAGGGCAGTTTTTTTGTCATCCCGAATCCGCCACTGTGCCTCTGGGCACGGAGTGGGCGTGTCCTCAGGTCCTTTGCCGAATCCTCTGAGCCTGACTCGTCCTTCCTGAGGAGATTTTACGGGGCCCGAGCCCCAATGTCCGAAATCTCCTGGCGCTTCCCGCGTGCCCCCTGGGCTCCAGGAAGTGTCGTCGCATGACTTTTTCGGGAGGGCCCCAAGACGAGCCACGAGGGTCCCACGAAACCCCCAATACGGTCCTAGAGGGCCCCGAAACGCCATATGATCAGTCCAAGACGCCCAAGATGGCCTCAAGATGGCCCAAGAGGCCTCCAAGACGTCCCAAGACATCCCGAAGAGGCCCCCCAACAAGGCCTCCAAAGGCAAAACTTAATGACTTCCCTCAAAGTCTTGACATAATTTAGCGTTCTCACCTTTTCGGCTTTCCGACGCTCTAAGCCGGTCCAAGAGGCCCCCAAAACCAACCCAACACGGCCAAAGAGGCCTCCAAGAAAACCCAAAGACGACCTAAGAGCGCCCCAAGACGGCCCAAGAGGCGTCCAACGCGCCCAAGACCAAGACGTCCCCAAAAAGGGCCCAAGAGAGGGAACATGAACCGAACATCCGAGCCTTTCGCCCCAAGAGGCCCCCAGGAGGCCCCAAGAGGCGCCCAGGAGGCCTCAAGAGGCGCCGAAGAGGCACCCAAAAGGCCCCAAGAGGCCCCAAAGATGCCCAACAAAGGCCCCAAGAGGCTCCTAGACGGCCCCCAAAAGGTCTCCAAGCTGTCTCCAAAAGGCCCCGAGAGGCCTCCCACGAGACCTGGGCCGGCACGGAAACGGAAAGAGCGCCTCAGGAACTGGCCCGTGAGGGCTCATGGCGCCATTCGCTCTGGGAAGCCTTTGTGTGAAGAATTCGTTGCGTTCCCGCTCTCTGTTAGGAGCCCTGGCGTCCAGAAACTTGTACGTTGCCCCTCGCTTTCGGGGGCCTTGCTGTTCAGAGCTCTTTACGTCGCCGCGATCTGGAGAGCCTTGGTGTGCAGAGCTTGTTACGTCACCGCTCGCTGTGGGGAGCCCTGGTTTTCCCTGGCGTCTCCGGGGCTTCTTGGCAGTCTTTTGGGGGCCCTTTTGGACCGTTTTGGGACTCTTGGGCCGTCTTGGGGTCAGCCTGGTCCCCGCGCCCAAGCAGCCCAGTCCCTCCTACACCGCCTCCGCGGGCCCTCTTAGGAGCCTCTCGGGCCCATCCAGGTGCTCTCGCGGGGCCGTCTTGGGGTCCCCTTGGGCCGCTATGGGGAAATAGTCACTTTTCCAGGTAAACTGGGTCTTCCCCTGGTATACTGATCCATTCCCTAGTGAGAGTTCCAGAGCAGTCATCCAGAGAACTCTGGAGAAGACCTGAGAGGCCTCCCGAAAGCGTCTCGGGCCTCCCGGGATGCGTCTTGGGCCTCCCGAGAAGCGTCTCGGCCGAAAAGCCTCTTGGGGCTCCCGAGAGGCTTCTTTGGCGCCCCGAGGACGAATGTTTCTTGGTGCCGCCGGGTGTCCGGGGCCAGGCTGACGCTCGCGAGGCGGCGAATCCTCTGCGCCCCGCTCAGGTGAGGGGCCCGGGGCGATTCGTTGCCGAAGGCGACGCCGCAGTGGAGGCCGCCCCTGGTGACGGCAACTGTTTGTTCGAGGTAGCCCACCGGGGACTTGCGTCCTTCCGGGGGGAACAGTCGCCATCGTCGGATGGCAAAGGCTTGCGGTCCTCCGTCGTCCGCTACGTCGCGATCCTTAAGATCCCTGGGAGGCCCTCCCACGGATTTGGGGGTTGGACAGATTCCTGAAAGTGCTTAAGATTTCTCCAGAGGCGTTCTCTGAAATCTTGTAATCCCACCAGCCCTCTGGGCGTAGGTGGTTTAGGGAATTTCCTCTTCCACCCCTCCTTCTTCCCCTTCGGGGAGGGGTTTCCCCTCCCCCTAACCCCCTCCCCTGGACTTGGACGGGGGGGGCGCTGGTAGTTGGAGCGTCCAAAACGGCTTCGGCGAGGAAGCCGAACTCATTGGATTTACTGGGGTTTTGGCCGGTTTTAAAGGCTCCCGAAGGGGAAGGCTAATTGGGGGACCCCCTTTCCTTTGACCGATCACCTCCAAGATGGCCCCAAGAGCGCTCCCAAGGCTCCCAAGAGCGCCCCAAGATGGCCCCAAGAGGCGCCCAGGAGGCCCCAAGAGGCGCCAAAATGGCCCCAAGATGGCCCCAATATGGCCCCGAAATGGCCCCAAAATGGCCCCAAGAGGTCCCCAAGAGGCCCCCCGAGGCACCCAAGACGCCCCAAGAGGCCTCCGAGACCGCCAAGACGCTTCCAAGACGCCCTAAGAGGCCTTCAGGACGCTCCCAAGAGACATCCGAAGAGACTCCGAGAGGCATCCAAAGAGGCCTCTGGCCATTTTGCTCGCCCTTCTCCTCCTCCTCCTCATTCTCGTCCTGCTGCTGCTGCTGCTCCTCCTCCTCCTCCTCCTCCTCCTCCTCCTCCTCCTCCTCCTCCTCCTCCTCCTCATCCGCCTATCGCTCCTCCTCCCTCTTCCCTCCTCCCGCTCCCCCTCCTCCTCCTTCAGTTCCTCCTCCTCCTCATCCTCCTCCGATTCCTCTTCCATCCTCGACGTCTTGGGTAGGGCGGGTTCCCCAACCCTTCGATACTCTGTATGCTCCCCCACTTCCCTGATCACCTCCATTCGCCTGGGCATCGTTACTGGATGGGCTGGTGGGGATATTTGTTTTGTTCTGCGGCCCGCTAGGAAAAGTCCAGAGGGCGCGTCAATCAGGCAAACTGGGGCACAGTGCCAGATAATTAATGCTGCCAAGCTGCTGGAGGCGCAGGCCAGGACGGCGAGACCACAGCCCAACGGCTGGAGACCGCGCCAAGCAGTCCGGCAGGCAAGTGCACATGCAGAGACCAATGAGCGAAAGACAGCGAGAGCCAACGAGGAGTCGCCCTGACGGCGCCAGCTCGCAAGCAAAACTGCCACAAGCTGCCACCCGCAAAGCACGCACAGGGCCTGTACCCGTGCAGCCGCTGGGGCAAAAACAGCAGGAGGCGGCGAGGGGGGACGAAGCGAAGCAGAGCAGGACGCAGAGAGACCAGGCCAGAACAGTCGACCGACTGTCCTAACAACAGCCGACCCGAGATGCTGTTAGGCGCATCCCTGCAAAGCAAACCGAAAGAGGCGGACTCACTCACATAGCACCCTGTGCTCGTCGGCGACCCGACGCAGGTCCACTTCGGGAAGTCGGCATCACCTGTCAAGTGTCGGTCAAACGGCGGACGGGGGAATGTCGAGCAGGACTGAGGGGACAGGACGCCGTGAGCACCACAGGATCTGGAAGCCAGATGCAGTACGCGATGCCACTGACCGGCGCACATCACCCGAGGCGAGCACTGCCGCACCACGCAGTGAGAGGAACACTTCGTCCCCCAGAAGAGACCCATGACGGTCCAGAGATCCACCGCACGTGGGCCTCCCTGCCATGGCGCCGACGGAGAAAGGGGAAGCAGCCGATAGCCGCGGAAGGTTGAATATATCGTGGGGAGACGTCGGATGCAAACGCCTCCAAAGGAGGACCCAACACGTGAAGTGGGGGGTCGTGGCGCGTGGCGCCGTCGTGGGGGGGAAGCCACGTGGGCAAGCCGACGGGAGCTGGTGGGGATACGCGAAACGTCAAGACTTGGTGGGATCCCAAAGAATCCCTAGGATTTCGTGAGAGGCCCTCCCAGGACCGGGGAATTGATGGCATCCCTTGGAATTCTCACGGGTCCTTCAGAGGCCCTTTCAGGAATCTGGCAATTGGTAGGACCCCTGAGCATCCCCAGGATTCCCGAGGAGGCCCTCCCAGGAATCTGGGAATTGGTGGGGTCCCGAGAAATTTCTAGGATTCCTGAAGAGGCCATTCCATGAATCTGGCATGCTTTATGGATCCGGATGAATTCCTAGGATTCCCCCTGGAGGCCCTCCTGGGAATTGGTCGTACGACGCCATCTCAAGTATCTTGCAAAGTGTGGGATCCAGAAGAATTTTTAGGATTCCCTGGGAGGCCCTCCCAGAAATCTGGGAAATAGTAGGATCCCTAGGAATTCTTAGGATTCCCTGGGAGGCCATCTCAGGAATCTCGCAGTTGGTCGGATCCCGAGGAAATTCTAAGACTCTCTAGGAGGCCCTCCCAGGAATCTGGTAATTGGTAGGACCCGTCGGATTTCGTAGGATTCCCTGACAGGCCATCTCATGAGTCTTGCAGTTGGTAGGACCCCGAGAAAGTCCTAGGATGCCGTAGGAGGCACTCCCAGAAATCTGGGAATTGGTAGGATCCGTAGGATTTCGTTGGATTCCCTAATATGCCTTCTCAGGAATCTGGCGATTTGTAGGATCCCTATGGATTTCTAGAAATCCCTAGATGGCCCAAGGTAGTGAGATATATAACGTCATACGGTGCACCATACAGCACGGCACCACCGCGCGCGCCGCACGGGATTCCCTAGAGGGCCCTCTCAGGAATCTTGAGATTGGTCGAATCCCCAAGGTTTCCTAGGATTCCCTTGGAGGCCCTCCCAGGTACGTCAAAGATAGGGCAATATATATGTATATATGTACACATATATCTACCTATACGACCACCCTTCGGGTGATAAGGAGGTTCGGGGGGAGGAACCAACGTCTCACTCGATCGGTATCACTGTCGATCTCACTATCGATATTACTATCGGTCTCGCTCGATCGATCTCACTCTATCGATCTCACAATCGATCACACCCGATCAATATCATTCGATCGATCTCACAATCGACATGACTATCGATCTCACAATCGATCCCACTATCGATCTTACAATAGATCTGACATTCGCTTTCTCTATCGATCCCACGATCGATATCACAATCGATCTCACAATCAACGTCATCATTATCATCATCAACAAGGTCGTCATCAACGGCATCAACATCATCATCCTCATCATCGGGGCACCATCATCACCTCATCACCATCATCATCAACATCAGCATCACCATCACCATCATCATCGGGACACCATCATCGTCACCATCAGCATCATCAACACCATCAGCATCGGAACACCACCATCGTCATCACCATCTCATCATCATCATGAACAACATCGCCAACATCACCATCATCATCACCATCGGGACACCATCATCATCAGCAACATCATCATCAACATTATCATCATTGGGGCACCATCATCATCGTCACCATCATCATCATCACCATCATCATTGGGACACCATCATCATCATCAACATCATCATCAGCATCATCACCATCATCGGGCCACTATCATCAAAATCGTCATCATCACATCATCATCCTCATCATCAACGTCATCGGGACGCCATCATCGTCATCACCATTAGCATCACCATCACCATCATCAACCTCATCATCATCATCGGGGCATCATCCTCATCATCAACAGCAGCATTATCATCATCACCACCATCGGGTCACCATTACCAAAATCATCATCATCATCTCATCATCATCCTTATCATCAACACCATCTTCATCGAGATACCATCATCACCATCACCATGATCATCAACAGCATCATCATCATCAACCTCATCATCACCATCATCGGGACACCATCATAATCAGCATCTTCATCTTCATAATCATCATTTCATCACCATGACCATCATCATCATTATCAACATCATCAGGATAATCAACATCATCATTATCATCATCGGAACCCCATCATTATCATGATTATCATCAGAAACATCATCATCAACAGCATCATCATCATCATCATCATCATCATCATCATCATCATCATCATCATCATGCCGCTGCCTCTGGGGGGGGAGGGACCCCGTGGCGTAGGCTGTACCCCGTGGGGCTCGGCACACGCCAGGGTTCACTCCCTCCCGCCCTCTTGGGCAACGTCTGTCGCTTGGCGCCTTCGGCGCCTCCGTTTAATGTAGCTGCTGGCGCGCCTTGGGCGCGACAGCCCGCGCAGCTTGCTGCGCTCCAGCCCGCTCTGTGCTCTGTGCGCGCCAGGCGGAGGCCGAACCGTGGTGGTAGGCTATGGCCGACCGTCAGGATCGCCTCCGAAGGTCACCTCAGAGCAAGTCGCCCCCGTCTGTGGCCTGGTGCCAAGGGGACTGTTGCTCTGGTGCGGCGCGCCGAGCTGTCTGCGAGCTGAGTCGCCGTGAGGGCTCAGATGCTTTGCTGATCGCCTGCCTTTGGCTGGGGCGGTCGGCGGCCTCAAGGCTTTCAGGCGTGTCTGCGAGTGTGCCTTGGGCACGGGTCAGGCCTTGCGTCCGCAGCGCCAGAGGGAAAGGCCATGGCCTCGGGAGGCTGTATCGAGCGGGGAGCTCCAGACCTTCTTGGATGCGTGGATCATCATCATCCTCATCATCATCATCATCATCATCATCATCATCATCATCATCATCATCATCATCATCATCATCATCATCATCATCATCATCATCATCATCATCATCATCGGGGCACCATCATCATCACCACCATCACCATCATCACTGCTAATGCTACTGCGACTACTACGACTGCGACTACTACTACTACCAACGACGGCTTCCGACGGCGTCAGACGGATCAGGAAAGCTGTATGATTGCCAAAGAGGCCCCGAACATGCCCCCAAAAAGCTCCAAAGAGGCCCAAGGAGCCCCCCCAAGATGCCTCCAAGAGGCCCCCAGGAAACTTCCAGAAGACCAAGAGGCTTCCAAGAGGCGTTCTCCTTCTTCTCCGCCTCCTCCTCCTCCTCCGCCTCCTCCTCCTCCTCCTATTCCTCCTCTTCCTCCTTCTTTTCCTCTTCCTCCTCCTCCTCCTCCTTCTCCTCCTCCTACCCCCTTTTCCTTATTCTCCTCATTCTCCTCTTCCTCACGTGCTCCACGAAGGGTTCACGACAGCTGGGGGAACACATGGTCCGATAGCTCTGGCCCAACTTTCGGCCACAGAGGCCCTTCCAAAAAAAGGCAGGGGGTGGCGGTGATTCGCCGCAGGCCTCTTCGATCGATCCTTGACGGCCCAGGGGCCCGGAGAAAGCCCTCACAAAACAAAAACGGACAAAAAGCCTTCCGTCGTGATTCCTGCTCGCGACGCGAGCACGTCTGGGGAGGGCTCGGACGATGCTGAGCCTGCTCCGCGCCTGCGGCGGCCGCCGCCGCGGCGCGGCGGCCGCACCGCCGCCCTGGCGTGGGCGCACCGCGCCTCCTCGGCGGGCCGCGCCGCGCCGCTGCGGCAGCTCCGCGGGCCACGCCGGCGGGGCGCGGCGCCGCCAGCGCGCCGCGGGCGCAGCGGGCCGCCCCCGGCGGCGCCGCGCACGGCGCACGCGCGGCCGCCGCGGCGCCCACCGCGGCGGCGCCCGCGGCGATCAGCGCGGCAGCGCGGCGGCGCGGCGCGCGCTGCCGTTGGGCGCGCCCGCCGCGGCGGGGCCGCCACCGCGCCCGCCGCGGCGGCGCCGCGGGGCGGCGCGCTCCGCCCTGCTCACGCCGCGCGGCGCCGCGGCGCAGCGGCGCGGCGAGCGGGGCCGCGCCGCAGGCTCGGCTGGCGGCGCGCTCCATCGCTGGACCCGGCGGGTGCCGTGGCTCGGCCGGCGGGCTGCGTGCGGCCCGGTGCGCTCGCGCGCGCTTGCAAGGTCGCCCTGTCCTCTGTGAGACGCAATCTCTGGGGCTGGGCTTCGAGATCTCTTGCTGAGGCGCAGCCCCCCCAGGCCCCCCCCTCAAAGAGATAGCTGAGTGGCCGAAGTGGCATCATGGCCCGCGGCATGTCCGCGGACGAGTGGGGCCAACGCTCGTAGTGAACGAAGAAAGGCGGGGCACGAAGTCCGGGAGATTCCTTGACCCCACCGTGTCGTCCCACTTCCAAATTCCTCCTTCCCCCCTTTGGACGTTCCAAAGCGAAAATGTATCTTGGAGGCACACCTTCGACCAGGGATCCGTGTACACAGGCAGCATATCCACCGACCCCCGCTTGCCGTGGGCGACAAGTGAAACGTTTGGCTGTCCCCCTCCCCCCTTCCCCCTGCCCCAGGGTCCAAAATCCGATCAGAGAGTGGTGGGTCTCCGGGTTCCACAACGCCCCACTGGGTCATCGGAGCCTCCAGAGCCCCCAGACAGACTAGGAGGAGGGTCCACTCAGAGCGCCAAGACATTCCCACAGAGCGTCGAGACGGCCCAGGGTGGACCCACGACGGATCAAGATGGCTTCAAGACGGCCCACGAGATCCCCAAGATGGCCAAAGAGTGCTTGCAGAGAACAGCCGAGAGAGGCCCAAAAAGCAACCATTGCTCCATGCCCTCGCGTACTTCGCTTGGGCAACGTCCAAGACGGCCTAAAGGGCACCCAAGACCGTCCCGAGACGGGCCTTGAGGCCCCAGCAGAGCCCCAGTCCCTCAAGGATGCCCAGGAGAAGCATCCCGAGAGCCTCTCATATGCATCCCCGCGCCTCCTGACCTACTTCATTTCTTCCAGGAGCGCTGCATACACCCTGCGAAATGCTTTAGAAATCATGGGTTAAGAAATTCATAGTCTCAGAAATTGATTACAAACCCAGGATTTCTATTGAAATCTTAGGATCTACATTGAAACATTAAGAATAATCGAGACTCTGGCCGAAAACTTAGGTTTTCTTAAGCATCGCCTAGAGTGTACTCTCACTGCAACTCCACACTCCGTGGACGTCCCCCACTGGCCGTCACGAGACCCCGACCACGCCCCCAAGCGGCCCCCTTTGGCGCTGGATGCCAGCCGAGCTCGGGGAGAACGGGCGGCATCGGTGGCCTGCGCACGCCGCCACGGCCGCGTTGAACACGACCGTGTTGGGTACGTCACCTGTAGAGGGGAACTGGAACACACAAATAAATACACACAAATAAAAATATCCCCCATAGTTTCCAATATTTTCTGGGTTTTTGTCTTCCCCACCACTTCCCATATTTTTGCATATGTTCCTGGGAGTCGACGATTAATTGTGTCTGTGTGTTTCTTTCCCTCCTGAACCTGGCGCGTCTGCCAGGATGATTCTGCCCACTGGGGCATCACAACGAATCTGGTAATGTAGGACGGCGATAAAAAAAGCAGGGGGGACGACTCACAAATATCTTGCTTCGAGGGATCCCCAACGGAGAACGCGAGGCGGGATCCCCATGGAGCACCAGGCCCCTTGGTGCCTGGCGTTCGCAATATGCCGTGGTCATTCGTTGAAGTCGCCAGGCCGGATACCCAGGGAGCAACAGGGGCTGCGGTCTGCAGAATGTGCGAAGCAGATCGAGAACCCGTCCACTGAATTCAACAATCCCAGCCTGCCGGGTGGGTATAGATAGTGTTCATAGTTTTATGCCGCAGGGGAAAATTTGGGGGATGTCGACTGAATCACCTCTATGACTGCGAGGATGCCCACGCGCAAGTCTGGGGCCTCTGTATGATTCCCAATCGCCCAAGGCGCTGCTGCGGGACGGCTCCCCCAGGAATTTAAACATTGTTGTCCTACACTCGTCGAACGCAGCCCAGGCCCAACAGCAGACACGGCCAGCAAGGAGAAGAAAAAGGGGAGGAGAGGGGGAAGGGTGAATCAAGCAGCACCCCCCATTGGTTGAAAGCGACCCGTGGCGAATCTGGGTTGTTCATTCCCGCTGAGCCCTACTCCCCCCCCTCCTGTCCGCCTGCTTCTGGCGGCGCGCACGGTGGGGGGGGGGCGCGAGGGGAGTGGCCCTCTAAGAAGGCGAGCGGCTTCTAAGATGGGGGCTTCTCTCATAAGCCCTCTCAGAAGCCTTCTGAGAAGACCGCCCCCCTCTTGCTGAAAATGCCCCCCCCCCCCCCCCGACAACACCCCCTGGCACGCGCCCCAGTCCTGCCCTGCCCTCTCCCCTCCCTTCCTCGGGTGTTCGTCAACGAACAGTTGCACGCGGGGCGAAGCACAGGGCACGTCTCCCGCACCTTTTTCAGGCCCGCGGTCGCAGCTGAGAGGGGCGTTCAGAGCTCCGCTTGAGGGCCGCTGCCCTGCAGCCCTCGATCCCCCGCGGTGATTGCCGAAATCATGCCGCTGGGTACCCCCGTATGAATTGTAGAGGGGTCGTGTGCTCACGGAATGGGGGGGTGGGGGGGTCCGCCGACGACGGGCCGGGAAAGGGGAGGGGGGGGTCCCGCCCAGACCCCCCCCCCCCTTGGCCGCATCCAGCGGCGCGCCCTCGTCATTGCCCCCTCCCCCGCTGCAGTCCGCCCGACTCCCGCCTCGCCGCCTCCCCCTGACCAGGCAGCGTCCCCTTCCTTTCTCCGTCGCCCCTGCCTCCTGCGCGTGCCGCGGCAATCCGTCCGCCGCCCGCCTCTGCTGGCCCCCTCCGCGCGCCTGCCGCCGGCAACTGATCGTCGACACCGACCCCTGCTCGCTCGCCCCTCCCCCCAAGTCGGCTACAATCAAGAGTAACCCTGGGCGGACTTAGGGCGCGCAAAGTGGCCAAATCCAAGCGCGCAAGCAGCCGCTATCGCTTCGAGTTCAACGATCGGGGGGATCACGATGAGCCCGCAACAGAAGGTCACTCTGGCCAAGGGTCACTGTCAGGTGCACCACCAGCTCGGACACTGCGACTAGAGACCACGGCATCTGAAAAGCTGTCCCTGGACCCCTCCCGCGGTCCAAACGCCCCAATTTTCCGAGCTGCATCCAGCCGTGGCGACGATGGCCTCCCCGAAGGCCGACTGCCTCAACTCGCGCTCCTCTGGCCAACACCAGGGCCACGAAGGGGGCCGGCGACGCCCAGCACCGGGGGGACGACGCCTTAAGCTCGCAGCCCCGCTTCTGCGCCGGGCGCTCCCCCCGAGAGGGCTGCCCGCTTCTGGGCCGCCAACGAAGCTCGCTGGCCGACCTTCCTCCGGCCGAGCTCCTTCCGCTGCCCCTTCCCGCCTGGCGCCCAGCAGGACACAAGCTGAACCGTGTTTTCCAATGTTTCGTTTTGTTCTCGTTGTTCCTCGGCCTGTGTTCGTTCCGAGATCCACATAAATGAAGCCCCCGCCTCAGCGAGAGCATCATTTTGAAAGAAAAAAAACGACCCCCCCAACTCTGGGCAATCCTGTGTAAAAAAACAGTACGCGGAGGGGTGCCCGCTATCTTCCGCACGCCATCAGAGGATGGAGGAGCGTAGTATTCATATTGTGTAACTGTGGAGGAGGAGGATGAGGAGGAGGAATAGGATAATGATGATGATGATGATGATGAGGAGGAGGAGGAGGAGGAGGAGGAGGAGGAGGACGAGGAAGACGAGGAAGACGAGGAGGAGGAGGAGTAAAAGGAGGAGGATCAGATCAGACTCCTATCAGGGCATTGGTCCAGATGGTGACAGCATCAGAGAGCCCTAGGACCGACTTACCAGCCGCGATGTTCGGACCACCGTCCGCCCTGAGTTTCCAGGGTATCAAAACCCTAAACACGCTACAAAACTTACCCTTGGAGACCTAACAAGCGAGCCGCAGCTCCAGAAAGTGATTCGCCGAATCCAGAGTCCCGAAAACTTCGAATTACAGCACCTCTAGCACGCTTGGTAGGAGGAGGAAGAGGAGTCGGAGACGAGGGCTCAGGGGGAGACAGAGGACGAGGGGGGGATACCACGGCCTGGCAGGCAGCAGTGGAGCGGGCCTCAAGACTGGTCGCAGCTGTCCTCGGGGCCGACGTCCGAGACACGCCAGTCGCGGTCGACACACTCGTAGCAGATAAACTCGCACTCTGGGTCCTCACACTTCGTGACGTTCGAATTCGCAACGAAACCGGCGTCGGTGATGACTCATGATAATTCTCATCAACAGCATTTGGCACCCACATGTCACTCGACACCGCCACTCTGTCAGTAATCCCAACATCACCGTCGTCACTGTGCACACTTAGATATCCATGTCCTCGCCCGCCATGAACGTCTGAAGGATCCTCTCCAGGTGGCCCATTGGAGCAACGCCCTCTTGGACCAGTGCCCCCAGCTGCTCGCAACAGGCGATCAATGGCTTGACGTCTTCGATCCTCGGCATCATCACATTGGCCTCCCCCTCTTTGAAGGCCGTTGCTATCTTCACAAAGGGATACTTGGCCACTACCTCTGGCAGTGACAACTTGTTGTTCATCTCCTTCCATTCGTTCAGGCGCTGCAGGTTCATCTGGCCCACAGCTACACCGACCTTCTCGCATCCCTCCGCCATCCCTAGTAGACACGCCACCGAGATGGACCCCAGCTTGGACACCTCCGCCTCTTCCCCCCTCGACCTCAAGTCCTGGGCCGCCTCCACCCACGCCTTCGCTCTTCCTCGCCCCTGCAGGATGGGTTCTGTATTCTCGGCCATCGTCATCGTGATCAAAGTAATAGCCTCTACTTGTCGTGTACGCATAGTTACATTCATCATCAATTTCATGAGCACTGGCGCGATTTTTTTATTTACGCCGTACTCTTCTAGCCCCGCAATCTCCTCCTTCGATGCCGTCCGATTGGATTTTGTCTGCGTTCCCTTCTTCGCCCGCCCGCCTCCTCCTCCTCCTCCTTCGGCCTTGCGCCTCACGGCGGGGGCCGCCGTCGCGGCCACTGGGGCTGCCGCAGGGGGCGCCGACCACATGCCAGACAAAGTCAGGAAGAGGGATGGGAAGGTGATCGCGTAGGTGAAACTGAAGCTCCTCAAAAGACCGAAAAGGCTGCAGGCATATTGGACATGACCTATCTTCAGGATCTTGAACTGGCGGGTTGAACTTCGACGAGTCTACCCTGCACCGACCAAACCGATACGCATTCACAAGATGTCTGACCGCAGTATCACGGCATCTGAACGTCGACAGGCAGGCAACACATTGATTGGTGAAAACCAGCTTGGATATGGTGGACGGAATCCCATGTTGACCTCCTGTGGCCTGCCTCTGGTGGACTAGCAGGGCTCGTTGTGATGCAACACGTCGGCCACATTCAAGGCCATCATCATTAAGATACGTACAACAATATTCACCTTCGGCAACCTCACCTGGTTCGGGGGAAACGTCAGTGGGCAACGACGGTCTCATCAGCCATTCAGCTCGAAACTGCTGCATATCGATCTTCTGAAACGCGTCATAGGCCTCGGGGTCCCCGCGAAAGATCCCCAAGTAGTCTATGACACTGGCCTCGTCCCAAAGTAACTCCAAGACGTCCCTCCCCTCCTCCGTGCATTCCATATACATAAGATCTTGCACAAACTGTTTGGCCCAAGGGTTGTCTCTCGAGGTGTCCTGGGGGCTCGTGCACGCGCTGGGGTACCAGGAAAAGACGACGGAACCGCTTCTTCAACCTCCAAGGCCCCGAAGACCGCCGTCAACTGTTGAACGTGGCATACCGGGCTACGAGCTATTTTTTGCCACTCTTTCAACCCCTGGACCCTCAACTCTAAGCCAGTCGGAACTAGTCCCGCCTGGCGCCATAACACATGAGCAGGGGGAGCCCTGATAACCGTAGTCTTGGCACCGTCAGGGTTGACAACCTCGATCCTGGTAGCAACACCACCTAGCAGTACACGTAGACATCGTAGACAAATAGATTAAATACGGGCAACTTGGGAGGCCGAGAGGACCAGGGCCGTGAGCCCCGAGATCGCCGCGCCCATCACATTGCTTCTGAAAGCAATTTTTTCCGAACGCCATGAAGAGCAGACAGACCAGAAGCGCTTCATGTGCGCCCAACCTCGAACAGCTGCAGCTCGCCTAGCTTCAACCCCTGACGCCCACGATCCCGACGTCGAGAAGAGGGTCCCGAGAAAAGGAACAACAGGTAAAACTTGTCCAGGGAGATCATGAGCACCATACGAAAAGGACATCTTCGTGGCCCAATGCGCCCCAG